TGGGTCTACGACATCTTTGTTTGCCTATCCCAATTTAAGCATATCACAAATATTTATCTATGTCTCAACATCTAATTCTCCCTCTTCCCCACTCTCTCTCTCTTTCTCTCTCTCTCTCTCTCTCTCTATATATATATATATATATATATATATATATATATATATATATCTTATGTTTGCCCGCCCGGTTGATATACGAGCCGTTTTCTCACGTTTTCCAACACCTAAATGTTCAATATATTAATAAAACATAACATGCAGTTATGTCGCGTGGGTAGATCACGTGTACTCACCCGTTCGAACTTCATTGGCATACAAATTACACACCGATGTCAAGTCATTAGAGTTGATGTAGACGGGGAATATATTAAGATACAATTTTTGTTTGCTGTTTTTAATGTCATTTGAAAGTGACCTCTTTTCTCAGTTCACTTTTTTTTCGTTGTTTCATTTTCGTTCATTTATTAGACAATTTCCTTCCTTTTTATTTTTAATATATGCATATTTATTCTTATCTAAATTGCTTTATTTTCGATTTCTTCTTTTTTGTTTCTTTATTCCGTTTTCTTTTCCAGTCTTTCTTTTATCTTTTTTTTTTACCATTTTGTCTCCTGCTCTTTCTTTGTTGTCCTCCTTTCTCTTTTCTTTTCTGCTTCTTTCTTTTTCTTTTCTACTTCTTCTCTCTATATTTACCTTTCTCCTTTCTTTCCTTTGTCTTTCTTTTTATATCTTTCGTCTATCTCTTTTTTATATATTTCGTTTCTCTTTCTTTTTGTCATTTTTTTTTCTTTAACCTTTTATCTATCTTCATTCTTTTCTATTTATTTACTTCGTTTTTCTTTCATACTTATCTTTCGTTTCTCTCTTTCTTTTTAGTTTCTTTCGTCTGTCATTTTTCTGTATTTTTCGTTTCCCTTTCTTTTTTGTCATTTTTTTTTTTGTTTATTATATCTTTTGTTTATCTTCTTTCCTTTGTCTTTATTTACTTCGTTTCTCTTTCTTTCATTCTTGCTTTCTTTCTTTCTATATCTTTCGTCTGTCTTTTTTCTATAAATTTCGTTTCTATTTTTTCTTTCTTCTTCTCATTTCCTTTTTAACTTTTCTCTATTTTCCTTCCTTTGTCTTGATTCCCTATTTTACATGCTTACTTTTTTAATCTTTTTTTACTTTATTTTCTTTCTTCTTTCAAAACTCTACTTTCTATTTACGCTTTATTTTACTTTTCTTTTTCCTTCCTTTCTCTTTTCCTTCCCTCCATCCTTCCTTCCTTTCTTTCTTTCTTTCAAAACTCTTCTTTCTATGTACGTTTTCGTTATTTACTTTTCTTTTTTCCTTCCCTTCTCTTTTCTTTCTTTCTTTCTTTCAAAACTTTTTTCTATTTACGTTTTCTTTTTACTTTTCTTTTTCCTTCCCTTCTCTTTTCCTTTCTTTCTTTCTTTCAAAGCTCTAATTCCTATTTACGCTTTCGTTTTTTACTTTTCTTTTTTCCTTTCAATATTTTTTCAATATTTTTTCTTTCAGTATCTCCAACTCTTCATTCTTTACTTTCCCTTACAATTCTCCCTATTTTTCATCTTTTTTTTTTTACTTCTTATCCTTCCTTCCTTTCTCTATTCCTTCCTTCCTATTAATATTTTAATATACTTTCCTACATATCTGCTTTATTTTTCTTTACGTTATCTTATTTTACTTTCCTTTCTTTCTTTCTTTCTTTCTTTCTTTCTTTCTTTCTTTCTTTCTTCCAATATCTCCAACTCTTTATTCTTTACTTTCCCTTATAATTATCCCTATTTTTCATTTCTTTTTTACTTTCCTTCCTTCATTCATTCCTTTTTTCTTTCTTTCTTCCTTTTTAAAACTCTACAACTCTTTATACTTTTCTTTTCCTGGTTCCAAGAAATCATATCGCATCATATCTCAGCTTGTGAATGTTGGACGTGGATCCTCCCCCAGATTCACGAGAAGAAGTGTGTCATTACTCTACTGCGCTGGTCCCACGTGTGTTTGTAGAACATAATGTGACACGTTTGGGCGATTATCCCTTTTATCGACGTCCTGGGTAAGACGTTAAACTACATACGCGTTTGGGGTAGGACGTTAAACTACGTCCAGCAGCAAGACCTCTGATCAGGAGGTTTTGAGGAGCGTGGAACCACCTCTTAATTGCTGGTGTTCCCAGGTTCACCCTGACCCGGGGTGGTAGCACCTGTTAGGGTCCCAGCTATGGGCAAATAGTTAACTATTACCAGCAATACTTTTTTGAAAAAAATTAATACCAGCAATACAATTTTGAAGGAAATATATTACCAGAAACAGATTTTTGACAAAACAAAATATTGTCAGCACTAAATAACCCATTGAGGTTGATATGCCGTAAAACAAAATAAACCAAACCATCTTATCGATTCAGGATCACCCAAGGGTATTTGCGCGTAAGTCTCGCCGATTTCTCACCCCGAACCACCATCCATTCCAACACCGCCACATCGTACATCCAATCTTACACCACCTGGCATTTTCAAGTGGTCAACCATCTAGGTAGTGACCAGGCTTTACATTGCTTAACTCCGGTGATCTGACGAGAATCGGTGTGTCAGCGTGACATGACCGTAAGCCTGATTCAAAATAGAAGTAACTTTTTTGTTGTTATACGCTATAGAATTTGTTCTGAAAGACGAGATTCCTAACGATTACGTTCCAGCTGTCGCCGATTAGTCGATAAGACGAGCTGGTCCCAGTAAAGTAAAGGTACTAAATCACTATAGACGAGCACTCAGCAAGTAACAAGCCTACGAAATGAGCGAGACTGTCGCGTGAGATGAGCTTGAAAGCCGGTTTTTATAAAAGGTGCCTATTTTCAAACTCAAGAAGATCCTATATGGGGAACTTCTCGAAAGTCCAGAGCTATGTTGGAGGACAATAAAAACAAAAATGTTTCAAAGACAAATAATTCTAAAAGAGTGCGGTATTAACGTTGCCAAACTGGCTGGAAAGCATGGAGGCGAGAGAAGATACTGTTAGCAGAAGCGAGAAGTGCGAGAGAAGATACTGTTAGCATAGAACTTACGGTTCCGTCTAGCCAACTCAACTGTAAATTGATGAGATCTCGCCACCAGTCTAGTATTGCGCTCAAATTCATACAGTTTATCTACCATAGCAATGAGCACTATCTATTTATCATCATTTATTCTGTGAAATGACACAAGGCCAAAAGGGGGAATGGGGAAAAGGACGGTCTTCTTCTGTCCCAACATTAAGCTTATTTAGCCACAATCACTGATCCAAACATACCACAATATTCCGAACATCAAAACAACATCCACCATAATACCTCATTGTCTCTATGAAAATCATAACTAGTCCCCGTATGTACAATTCATGTCCGTGAGGAGTGGGGAATAAAACAACAGTTTTAAAAAAACCCAATGTGTATTTACGATATGAAATACTATTTACAAAAAAGTAAATGAAACAGTTTAAAAACCCAATGTGAAAAATTTACGATATGAAATACTATTTAAAACATAAAAAAGTAAATGAAACTGTTAGTCAAACAACTATTCAAACACAAATACGATACCCACACTGAACCACCGAAGGCGTTCCAATCCACGGGAGGAAACCACCGCCACAATTGTTAATTTGAAGGAAAAAAAGACAAAACAATCCTAAGAAAATGGGCTAATGTTAATTTGGACGAAATAAATACGGGATTTAAAAAAACATAAATTGACTAATTCGTTCACCCTTAGCCCCCATTGACTGACTCATTCAAACACAAATACCCATAACACCCAACACGCAAAAAGAACACATAATGTTCAGAAGGCGAACAATTGGAAGGAACACATCACAGGAGGACAGAAAGACTTCTCTCTGAACGACATCAATACAAACAGAATACTTGGAGGGGAATTAAAGTTGGGACAAAAATAAACGGGGTTCAGAACTAAACTTGAGGACGAAAAACTTTCGCATGAATGCATTTCCAAACGACCACCAAATCAACAAAAGAACGCCAAACAGAACTTCTGAGGAAGGAGAAAGTGTTCCGTCAACAAAAACACAAACAAGGACGAAAAAACTTCCACGCAAAGAAGTGAATTCACCACAATGCTACAAACAGAACTAAACTTGAGGGTTTCCACGCAGCATGCGAAAGAATACATAGTGTTCAGATTTCGTCAACGACATCACCACAATGCTACGAAACAGAACTAAACTTGAGGACGAAAAATTCCACGCAGCATAATGTTCAGACAACGACAATGCTACAAACAGAACTAAACTTGAGGACGAAAACTTTCCACGCAGCCGAAAGAATACATAGTGAATCAACGACAAACTACAAACAGAACTAAAACTTGACTTCCACGCAGCATGCGAAAGAATACTTTTGATTTCGTCAACGACATCACCACAATGCTACAAACAGAACTAAATGAGGACGAAAACTTTCCACGCATTGAAAGAATAATAGTGTCCACCTTTCCGCCATCACCACAATCTACAAACAGAACTAAAACTTGAGGACGAAAACTTTTCCACGCAGCATGCAGATTTCGTCAACGACATCACCACAATGCTACAAACAGAACTAAACTTGAGGACGAAAACTTTCCACGCAGCATGCGAAAGAATACATAGTGTTCAGATTTCGCCCCCCAATACAAACAGAACTAAAACTTCCACGCAGCCATGCGAAAGAATACATAGTGTTCAGATTTCGTCAACGACATCACCAAAAATCACGCAGCATGCGAAAGAATACATAGTGTTCAGATTTCGTCAATAAAAACAGAACCACAAGGTTCAGACACGCAGCATGAGAAAGAAAAAACTTTGCCAAACAGAACTAAACGCAGCATGCGAAAGAATACATAGTGTTCAGATTTTCAACGACATCACCACAATGCTACAAACAGAACTAAACTTGAGGACGACGCGAAAAGAATACATAGTGTTCAGATTTCGTCAACGACATCACCACAATGCTACAAAACAGAACTTCGAGCAGATGCGAAAGAATACATAGTGTTCAGATTTCGTCAACGACATCACCACAATGCTACAAACAGAACTAAACTTGGAGGACGAAAAACTTTCCACGCAGCATGCGAAAGAATACATAGTGTTCAGATTTCGTCAACGACATCACCACAATGCTACAAACAGAACTAAACTTGAGGACGAAAACTTTCCACGCAGCATGCGAAAGAATACATAGTGTTCAGATTTCGTCAACGACATCACCACAATGCTACAAACAGAACTAAACTTGAGGACGAAAAACTTTCCACGCAGCATGCGAAAGAATACATAGTGCATTTCGTCAACGACATCACCACAATGCTACAAACAGAAAAACTTGAGGACGAAAACTTTCCACGCAGCATGCGAAAGAATACATAGTGTTAGATTTCGTCAACGACATCACCACAATGCTACAAACAGAACTAAACTTGAGGACGAAAAAACAGATTTTTCCACGCAGCATGCGAAAGAATACATAGTGTTCGAAAGATTTCGTCAACATTTTCAACGACACAAAACTCACCACAATGACATCACAAACAGAACTAAACTTGAGGACGAAAAACTTTCCACGCAGCATGCGAAAGAATACATAGTGTTCAGATTTTCAACGACATCACCACAATGCTACAAACAGAACGAAAACTTTCAACATCAGCATCGAACTAAACTTGAGGACGAAAAACCGAAAAGAATAGTGTTCAGATTTCGTCAACGACATCACCATCACCAATACAAACAGAACTAAACTGAGGACGAAAACTTTCCACGCAGCATGCGAAAGAATACATAGTGTTCAGATTTCGTCAACGACATCACCACAATGCTACAAACAGCATGGACGAAAACTTTCCACGCGAGGACGCATGCGAAAGAATACATAGTGTTTTCGTCAACGACATCACCACAATGCTACAAACAGAACTAAACTTGAGGACGAAAAAACTTTCTTCGAAAGAATACATAGTGTTCAGATTTCGTCAACGACATCACCACAATGCTACAAACAGAACTAAACTTGAGGACGAAAAACTTTCCACGCAGCATGCGAAAGAACACATAGTGTTCAGATTTCGTCAACGACATCACCACAATGCTATACAAACAGAACTAGACTTGAGGACGAAAAACTTTCCCTGCAGCATGCGAAAGAACACATAGTGTTTAGACTTCGTCTTCGACGTTACCACAATGCTACAAACAGAACTAAACTTGAGGACGAAAAACTTTCCACGCAGCATGCGAAAGAATACATAGTGTTCAGATTTCGTCAACGACATCACCACAATGCTACAAACAGAACTAAACTTGAGGACGAAAAACTTTCCACGCAGCATGCGAAAGAATACATAGTGTTCAGATTTCGTCAACGACATCACCACAATGCTACAAACAGAACTAAACTTGAGGACGAAAAACTTTCCTAAACGCAGCATGCGAAAAAGAATACATAGTGTTCAGATTTCGTCAACGACATCACCACAATGCTACAAACAGAACAAACTGAGGAGAAAACTTTCCACGCAGCATGCGAAAGAATACATAGTGACGACATCACCACAATGCTACAAACAGAAAAACGAGGGACGAAAAACTTTCCGCAGCATGCGAAAGAATACATAGTGTTCAGATTTCGTCAACGACATCACCACAATGCTACAAACAGAACAGAACGAAAACTTTCCACGCAGCAGATTTGCGAAAAAAGAATCAACGACGTCAACGACATCACCACAATGCTACAAACAGAACTAAACTTGAGGACGAAAAACTTTCCACGCAGCATGCAGTGAGATTTCGTATCACCACAATGCTACAAACAGAACTAAACTTGAGGACGAAAAAATACATAGTGTTCAGATTTTCCATCACCACAATGCAGAACTAAACTTGAGGACGAAAACTTTCCACACAGCATGCGGAGGAGCATGCGAAAGAATACGTGTTCAGATTTCGTCAACGACATCACCACAATGCTACAAACAGAACTAAACTTGAGGACGAAAACTTTCCACGCAGCATGCGAAAAGAATACATAGTGTTCAGATTTCGTCAACGACATCACCACAATGCTACAAACAGAACTAAACTTGAGGACGAAAACTTTCCACGCAGCATGCGAAAAAATACATAGTGTTCAGATTTCGTCAACGACATCACCACAATGCTACAAACAGAACTAAACTTGAGGACGAAAAACTTTCCACGCAGCATGCGAAAGAATACATAGTGTTGATTTTCAACGACATCACCACAATTAAACAGAACTAAACTTGAGGGGACGAAAACTTTCCACGCAGCATGCGAAAGAATACATAGTGTTCAGATTTCGTCAACGACATCACCACAATGCTACAAACAGAACGAAAAACTTGCAGGAAACGAAAAGTGTTCAGATTTCGTCAACGACATCACCACAATTACAAACAGAACTAAAAACTTGAGGGAAAAACAATGCAGCAAAAAGAATAATAGATTTCGTCAACGACGTCACCACAAACAAACAGAACTAAACTTGAGGACGAAAAACTTTCCACGCAGCATGCGAAAGAATACATAGTGTTCAGATTTCGTCAACG